AAGTAGCTGGTTCCCTGATTTTGGAATCCACTGTCGTGATTGCTCTTCGACTCTTCTGCCTCCCTTCTTTTGGTGCCACAGTCTTGGCTCTGGTTATGCTCTCCTGAGGAACCACTGCCCTCACCAGTATCCAAAATGAAAAACCAATTAACAAGCAAGAGAGATTCAGGGAACTTCTATACCACCTGCCTGCTTCTCTTAATCTGCCTGGTGGACATCCATTCACTTAATCTACCTCCCTAAACACAATCATGTATTTCTTTGCATTGCAAATGCATAACTCAGTGACTCCAGCTCCGACACAAACAAAGACAGGAATTCCTGGTAAAGCTCAGCAGGTCTGGCAAGATCTGTAAACAGAAATCAGAATTAACGTTTCAGGTTGAGTGACCTTTCCTCAGAACTCAACCTGAAATATTCACTCTGATTTCTCTCCACAGATGCTGCCAGACCTGCTGAGCTTTTCCAGCAATTTCTGTTTTTGTTTCTGATTTACAGCATCTGCAGGTTTTTTTTGGTTTTTATTCAGTGACTCTGGCTACCGATCAATTTCCGAAACCCAGAGTTCATGCGACTGCAACTGGTTTGTATGTCCAGGAGTGCCATTCAAATAAAAATTAGGAGCAAAAATAGGCCATTCTTCAGGTCTGCTCCACCATTCAATAAGATCATGACTGATCTGTTTGTGTTCCGAATTCTAAATACCTATCTACTCCAGATAACCTTTGATTCCCTTGCCTAAGAAGGATCTATCTAACTCCACCTTAAAAATATTCAATGATTTCACCTCCACCGCCTTCTGAGGCAGAGGGTTCCAAAGTTGCACAACTCTCTAAGAGTTTCCCTTACTTCTGTCATAAACAGTCAAGTTCTAATTTTAAAACAGTATTCCTGAGTTCTGGACTCACCCACAAGAGTAATCATCCTTTCCACATCCATCTTGTCAGAATTCCAGTTAAAATAAGCTCAGTACATCCAATCCTTCCTCATAAGACAACGCATTCATTCTAGGTATCAATCTAGTTAACCTCCCACATGCTGGAGTATGCATATTTCACTTGGCTGAACTGACCTGCATACTTTAAGTTTAATAACGATTTACTACAATTAGAATAAGTAGAATAACGTACCAGTTACTCACCAATAAGCATCTTCATAGTGCAGAAATCTAAACCCCTGCTGACTATCTGTCCCTCTTGTGCAGTTTTCAAATCCTGTTCTGCTGGAGGCTGACGAAATTAGAAAAAAGGAGTACATCCCTCTCCCCCTCACTGAACATTCTCATTTATCAGAATTTCAGGTTTTCACTTTATTACAGCTGGGGTAGGTGGCAAGTTAATGAATGCAGCGATAGGATGACAGGTAAAGTCAGGTGGGTGGATGAGGGGATATTGTGGCCAGTGTGTAGGGTGATGCAAATGGTTGAGGGGATCAGGTGGTTGTTAAAGAGTTATGAGGTAGTTAGTCAAGTGGGCAAGGACATATGGTGGCAGGTGTGTAGAGGAGGGATTAGTGTGGCAGGTGGGAAATGGGTGAGGAGTTAAGGTGGCAGGTAGGTAAAGGGGTGGATTGTCAGGTGGTTGAGGACCAAAGTTGCTGGTAACTGGGTGATGGGATAGGGTGACAGACTAGTTGGTGAGGGATCAAATGTCAAGTGCCTCGGGTTTGGTCGAGGGAGGGGTTTTCTTGGGTGTTAGGATATGGGAAGCCAGTTTTGTGGGCAGAAGTGGGTAGTGCTGGTCGGCTGCCTGGAAAAAGGGGCTCGGGTTGGATGTTTGGGCTGTCGCCAATGCGTGAGTGTGTATTTGGGGTGCTAGTGTAAGTAGTTGGGGGTCAGACAAGCAGGTTGACTACATCATGTTCTCTGCTAATAACATTGCAGGGCCTTTTGCTGTATACAGAAATCACAAGCAGTGTTCAGTGTGGAAGGCGCTCAGTCTTGTGAGAATCATTCAGATGAAGTGGGTAGGTGAACTTTACTTGTTTCTCACCTCAGTTTGAAGGGGTAAGTCATTAGCCGTGATCCTTGTGCCCAGAAAACACAGCATGCAATTTCTAGCACCTATTTTGTTAACATTATTTCACAAATTCAAATTGCTGTTACCGCTGTCTGCTACTGGCTTGAGAAAGAAGAAACTAGACAGATAAATGCAGCTAGATGCTCTTTATATTCTAGTTTTGAATGAAACTATATATGCACAGAATAATGCAATGTTCCCAAACTGTTATACAGACACTGGCTGGTACTTTTCCAGAAGTGGCAAAGGTCCCATGGCTCAATTGAGGTCTGAGCAGGTAGAGCAGCTACCACTTTTCCTAAACTGGCAAGATAGTATAGCAGCAGGAAGGTATTGGGCATGTCACCCAGAACCTTGCCATGTCATTCTGCCAGGTTCCCACCTTCAAATCAGCCCATCAGGGCTTGGAAATTTCCAGCTGTTGCATGAAACAATTTAATAAGTCCTCAACTTGAGAAAAGAGAATCTAACTTGTCCAGTCAAAGACAAATATCAAAGAGACCTGTTAAATTTTGTGGCCTATCCAGAAACACTCTGACCAGGTGACACATCTAACAGATAGAATTTGAGACATGGAGAAGTCATTGAGATGAAAAGAGATTAGCGTTACACTTGATGTTCAATGCCAATTCTAAGAATCAATTTTGAAGTTTGATCAGCAACTGGAACTTGAGATACATTGCCTTTCAGTTGTACAGCTAAAATTAAGTGCTTCATTTCTACTTTTCTCCTACAAGCTATTTATGTTGAAACAGCAAGTGATTCAAATTAAATCTAAGTGACCTGGAGAGAAAGTGGAGGAAACAAAGCTATAAGGCAAAGAGGAACCTACTGAAATTAGTTAAAACCTATTAAAAGTAAAAAAAAAATCCAAGATGTGAATCCTGGATGTCTCCCTGATGCCAAGGTCAAGGAGTGGCTGCAGACAACCTTCTGGATGAGGCTGGCACTCAGAGGTTGTGGTCCACATTGGTACCAGTAGCATACACATACACATAACACACACACAAACACAAAAGTCATCTCTAATCTAAGAATTTTATGTTCAAGCCAGAAAAATCCTCCAGATCCCTTGGCTGTCGAGAAAAGGGTAGAATAAAGCCTTTTATCTTGTAAAACATCAGAGATTTTTCGATAGTTCCTAAACATAAGAAGAAGGAACTTTTACCATCCAGGAAACAGAAAAAAGTTACTTATCCATTGGTCTACTGCATTATTAACCATTTACAACTTGAACCGTTGGCTTACAAGCATGGATGTCCAAATCTTGACTTTTTCTCAGAACTTACTGCTGAGATAAGCTACAAAATTGCTACTGAAGTTTCAGTTTCCCAAAACATAAGGCTGAAGCTCATTTTGCAAAAGTCCAGGCAACATCATCTAGAATCTATAGTTAATTATGAATCATTGTAGATCTAATTTTGAAAATGGGGAAATTAGGAATTAAGATCTGGATAATATGAAATCGTAAAACAAGCAAAGGACAGGAATAAATGTCCATAAATTCACTGCACTATCAATTTGAAATTTGTTACCTATAATAAAATCCTAAACAGGGAATTTGCTACTCATCAATACTCCAGAAGATTAAATCATGCATCATATTAAGTGTTGGCAATACAACTTGGAAATTATAGACTTATTCACATTCTAAGGATAGTTTATCATTTCTGGTAAACTAAGAAAGTATCTATCAAAATTGGCAATTCACAAGGAAGGACTCAAAAAATAAATATATTGAGGATTAGCAAGAAGGTTATTGTCCTTTGGATTCAAATCAAGTCCAGAAATGGGGCAAACCCTCTCTCAATCTCCTCTAACTTGAATGACTTGTGAAATAGTTTTCTCAATATCAATTCATTTTTAGCACAATATGGGAAATTCGTGCATCACATTTCCATTATTGCAAGAAGGAATTCTGAATTGCAATTTGAAATCCACTTTATTCTCCCTGGACCCTGTTCCCATCAAACTGCTGACCACTTCGAATCCTGGAACCCTGTTAGATGATGTTGTAAATTGTTCCCTCTCCTCAGGTATATGTACCTCCCCTTCAAATTTGCCTTATCTACCCATCTTTCATTCCCCTGATCTTGGAAAATTATTGCTCATTCTCCCAAACCCCTTTCCTTTCCAAAGACCTGGGATACATTGTTACCTCTCAAATTTCCCAGCTTTCCCATAAAATAACTTCATGTTTTTACCCACCTTACCACAGGACTGAAATGGACTTTATCAAAGTCACAAAATGCATTCTAAATAACTGTAACCATTGTAAACAATGTGTCCTCAGCCTTCATGACCTGTCCGCAATTTTTGAGATGGTTGACTGCACCACCCTCCTCCAACCTCTCTTCTTCAATTTCCCAGTGGATCCTTCATACACTAGAACACAGCCAAACTCTTTTCTCCTCATATCTGAATCACACCAAGTTCTTTCCTCTCATTACCCTTGTGCTCCCCAATCTAAGTTGGCTCCTGGCCTGGCAATGCCTCAATTTTAAATTTCTTAGCTGGTTTCAAATCCTTTTTATTGCCTTGACTCTCTTTATCTCTGGAATATACAACCTTCTAAGATCTTTGCATTTCTTGAATGTTGGCACCTTGTGAATTCCCTATTTTCATCATTTCCCCAATGGTGCGTATTTCCCCCGCTTAGGATTCAGCCTCCTGGATGCTAAACAATGGAGTTCCCTCTCTGGAATCTTTGCCTCTTTTTAAATGCTTTTTAAAATTTTTCTCTTTGACGAAGTTTTTGGTCATCTAACCTAATATTTCCTGCGTGGCTCAGTTTCCAATAAGACTCCTGTGAAGTTCTTTGGGACATTTTACTATGTTAAATAGTTTAAATCAATGCAAGTGTTCTTTTCAATAGATTTACAGAAACTAATCAACATTCAGTATAGGAACAAGACAGCTGAAATAAAATTTGCAAGTGACAAAAAATCTGTGTGAAGTAATCCATTAGCACTACATATTTACCCCTCGGGTTGAATTCAACATGCTGCTTCTTTACATCCATGTTCTGCTGTTTTCCAGGAGATTGTTTTGATTCAAGGTTTGTTAATTTCACCATTTGACTACTTGATGGTGCAGTGTGGTCTGAAAATAAAATGTAATTTAAATAATTAAAGGTTTGCAGTTTTTATATGTGCTTAATTTCCATTAACCAACCAATCTTCTGAATCATGTGACTCAGCTGAGGGTCGAGGTCAGGTGCAGGCGCTCGTTGAAAATTGTGCATGTGATGATAGATCGGTCTTCTGATACCAACCTGTTGGCCCTCTGCACTTATGCCTGGTCCATTCCCCCAGGCAATGCAAGCACAAAAACAGCTGCCATTTGTTTTTTTAAACATTCCTCCATTACGAGGTTCCACCTTCCAGGTTCTTCTCAGTGCCACTTGTTGGGTCCTCATCTTCAGAAATTGCAGCATCTCACTGATGCTGACAATGGTAAGGCATTGGGACTGGGAAGTGATTTGGCTGTCTGGCTCCTGACACTGGATTGAAAATCCAGCCCAGATTCCAAATGTAGCCCTGTTTTTGTTCTCAAACTAGTTGTACATAATGTGAAATTTCCTAATGGCACAATACAAATAGAAGCAAACAACTTAATATGGTGAAAGATGTCTGACTACAGAATTATATTTCAAAAATGTTAAATAAAATATTATAAAACCTTTTGAAGCAAAAGACAAACTTGTTAATAAAAGGATGCAGGTGAGTTTTTGAAGTATTGTTACTGCATTTTGGCAGTAGTTAAAATAATTGGAAGATGTTGTCTAAGAAGCCTTGGTAGATTTCTACAGTGCATCGTGTTGATTGAGCAAACGGCCACTATTGAGGGTTGGTGATGGAGAGAGTGGACATTTGCGGATTTGGTGCCAATCAAGTGGACTGCTTATTCCTGAATGGTGTCAAGCTTCTCAAGTGTTGTTAGAGTTGCACTCATCTAGGGATGTGGAGAATATTCCATCACCCCCCTGATTTACACCTTGTAGATGGTGGACTGGCTTTGGGAGTCAGGAGGTGAATTATTCGCTGCAGTATTGCTATCCTCTGACCTGCTCTTGCAACCACTGTATTTATATGACTAGTCCAGTTCAATTTCTGGTTAACAGTAACTCCTAGGATGCAGAAAGTGAGGGATTCAGTGATGGCAAGGGGCGGGGCTTAGATTGTGTCTTAGTGCAGTTGGGCATTGCTTGTGATTTGTACAACTGCAATGTTACGTGCCGCTATTCAGCTCAAGTCTAGCTACTATCCAGGTCTTGCTGCATTTGGAACAAGGATCTGAGGGGTTGCGAATGGTGCTGAACATTGTGCAATAATCGGCAAACATTCCCACTTCTGACCTTATGATGAGGGAAGATTACGGATTTTGCAGCTGATGATAGGTGGACCTAAGACACTACCTTAATGAACTCCTGCAGCTTAGATGACTGACCCCTAACATCCACAACCATCTTTCTATGAGCCAGGAATGATTCAAACTAGCAGAGAATCCCCTTTTCTTTGATTCTCACTGACTCCAGTTTTGCTAGGGCTCTTTGATGCGACACTTGGTCAAATGCAGTCTTGAAATCAAAGGCAGTCACTCTCCCCTCACCTCTGGAATTCAGCTCCTGTATCCATGTTTGAACCAATGCTGTAATGAGATCAGGAGCTGAGCAGCTCGAACAAAACCCAAACTGGCACCAGCAAACAGATTGTTATTAAGCAAATGCTGCTTAATAGTACTGTTGATGACACCTTCAGTCATCTTACCGATGATCAGGTGTAGACTCTGCGGCTGTAATAGACTGGGTTGGATTTGTCCTGCTTTTTTTGTACAGGAAATACCTATGCAATTATTGTGGAAACAACTTGGGTCACCTTGTAGATTTGACAGATCTAATAAGTAGATCTGATTGGTGTTAGAACTGTAGTGGAACTTGGACAGGGGTGTGGCAGGTTTTGGAACACAAGTCTTCAGTATAATTGCAGGAATGTAGTCAAGACCATAGCCTTTGTAATAAGTAAGCCTTTAACCATTTCTTGATATCACATTGGCTGAAGACTGTGATGCTGAGCACCTCTGGAGTTGGCCAAAATATATCATTCACCTGGCAATTGTGGCTGAAGCTCATTGCAAGTGCTTCAACCTGGTCTTTTGCATTGATTTGCTCAGCTCCCCATCATTGAAGATGGGGACTACTTGTGAAGCTTCTTTCTACAGTGAGTTATCTAATTGTCTACCACCATTCACGACTGGATATGGCAGGACTGCAGATCTGATCCATTGATTATGGAATAGCTTACATCTGTCTCTCACTTGCTGCTTATGCTGTTCGGCACACAAGTTGTCCCTTTTTTCTTGTAGCTTCACCAGGTTGACAACTAATTTTTAGGTTATGCATGATGCTACTCCATGCCCTCTTTCACACTTCATTGAACCCGGGTTGATCTCCTGGCTTGATGGTCATGGTACAGTGTGGGATGTGGGCTATGATGTTGCAGATTGTGTAAGACTCTGCTGCTGCTGATTGCTCATAGCACCTCATGGACGCCCAGTCTTGAGTTACTGGATTTTTTTGAAATGTGTGCAATTTAGCATGGTGCCACTTAACATGATACAAAGTATTATCAATGTAAAGATGGGCTTTCATCTCCACAAAAGGCTGTGCACTGGTCACTCTTACCAATATTGTTATGGACAGATGCATCTGTGGCATGCAGATTGAGGAGGATGAAGTCAAGTATGTTTTTCCCTCTTGTTGGTTCCCTCACCACTTGGAGATCCAGTCTAGCAGCAATGTCCTTTAAGGCTTGACCAGCTCAATCAGTAATGTTGCTGCTGAGCCACTCTTGGACATTGAAATCTCCCACCTCAGAGTACATTTTGCACCCTTGCTACCCTCAGTGCGTCATATGTTGTTCAAACATGCCGGAGCACTGAATCATCAGCTAAGGGAGGATGCTGGGCGGTTATCAGCAGAAAGTTTCCTTGCCTATGTTTGATCTGATGCCATGAGATTTCATGATGTCCAGAGTCAATGTTGAAAATTCTTGGGACAAGTCCCTTCCAACTGTATACCTCTGTGTCGCAACCTCTACTGGGACCATTAGGCGTACAACAGGACAGACTCAGGGATGGTGATAGTGGTGTCTGTGTGGTATGATTCTGTGAAAATGACTATGGCAAACTTTTGCTTGATTAGTCTGTACGGCAACTCTCTGAAATTTGGATTATGCTGCACTTTTGTAGGGTTGACAGACCTGTTTTGCTGCTTCTGGTGTCTAGGTCAATGCCAGGTTCATCTGGTTTCGTTTCTTTTCTCAGACAGTTACAACTGAGTGGCTTGCCAGACCATTTCAGAGGGCAATTAAGAGTCAACCATATTGCTGTGAGTCTGGAATCACATGTAGGACATATCAGGTACGGATGGCAGTTTTCTTTCTCTGCAGGACATTAGCGAACCAGATGGGTTTTTCTGACAATCGATAATGATTGTCATTTGACTCTTACTTCCAGATTTTTACTGAAATCAGATTCCACCATCTGGGATTCGAATCTGGGTCCAGAATACTAAATTGGTCTGTGGATTAATTGGTTATCACCTCTCCTTGTCTATCATCCTTGATAACATTTCCTCCAGATGTGCAAGGTGCAGTGTTGCTGCAGACTGTGAATGTCCCAGGTCACTGTCACAGAACTATTCCAACTGCTGGAGCTAGACATGGGATCTGAAGGGTGATGGCTATCCTGTCCTGGAGGTCATCAAAGTGACAGTTGCGCTAAACATTTATGCAGCTGGCTGCTTTCAAGGATCCACTGGGAACCGGTGTGTGATTTCACAACACTTGGCTCACAAATGTATCAAGGCTGTTGCTGATCCAATTTGTGACAGATTACAACTGTTTCATCTCATTTCCCTATAACATGGACAGTGCTGTAGCCCAGGCAGTAGATTTTGCCAACATAGCTATTTCTCACAGGTGAAGGGTGCTATGTATTGTACATGTCACATTGAGAGTGTCATATCGTAAACAGGTTGACTAAATCAACAGAAAAGGATTTCATTCATTAATATACAGGGCATCTATGATCATTGGTACATCTTAGGAGTCTGTGTCAGGTACCCTGGGAACTGCAGGATCCGTATATTCTTGTGAACTTCCATGTTCCTGTTGTGTTTTAAGGGACAGATGCCTTACAAGGATGAATTCTGGAAGACAACCAGGGTCTGCAGCCATGACTGATGACTCCATTATGCAAGTCCCTGACGTAGACCATCTGTAAATATGACTATTACTAAAGATGAGGTTCAGACACTTGCAATGGTCTTGGGGGACATTGCAGTACAGTCAAGACAGAATGTGCCACATAACCATAACATGCTGGGCTCTGTACAACTGAAGCAGACAAACAGAGGATTTGTTAGATGCTGAAGAGTTGGGAGAATGGCAACAGCCTTCTGAGGAGAAAGAGGAGAGCATTGAGCAGGAGGAACATCACCTTCTGCATGATAGACTGCTGTAGTATCAGGTGCAATAAACCAGACAAGATGCAATTGACACCTAATTCCAATAGATGTGAGCTGGGTTCATTGATTACTCATGGACTTTAAATTGTTGTTGATTGAAAGACAAGCAGTCCATGTCTATTTTAAGAAACAAATGCAGCTTTTGTTTTCTTTTGTTTTACTTTTGCTGTTGCTGAATAGAAGTGAACATTTGAAGTGATCTGAAGGCTTCCTAAATGTGATGTTCCCACATTGAGCGTTGCAAAGATCTGACACTACACTGGGCATTGAAGGAAGTGCAGCAGTTCTTTAAACGGGGTTCTAAAATGGGATTATGCTAAAGTCTGTGTAGCTGGGTTTTTGTAGCTGCAGTTACAACAACTGTTGATCAGACAGGTGATGTTGTAAAATAGCAGTACATTTACAAATGTGCATGTGCATTTGCTCCTGGCTGGCAGCGTTTGACCTGATGCGTGGCTGGGCTTTAAAAATAGTGCAGATGCCAGAAATCCTAGAACATCCCAGCAGAGGCATTCTTTCACATTGCTAAGCAGAGGATAGTGTGAGCAGGGCACCGTGGAGGAATGCTGCATAGCTAATGAGGAGAACTGCAGAGAATAGCGTGAGAAACACCGCCAGGACTATGGAGAGAAAATCTCCATGAAATCCTCTGAAATTGACAGAAAGTTGATTTATGGTAAAATTCAGTCTTCAGTGTTTAATAGTGCTTCAAGAAGCACTTTGGGATACTTTATTATGTTAATGGTGCTATATTACCACAATTGTCACTATATTTAGGAACATTGCTAATCATGCAAAACATTGAGATGAAGCAGACATAAGCAAATGAAAAAAAAAGTACTAAGTGAAGTGACCACTGCAATATATAATTACCAATAATCTTGGATTCAACATGCTGTTTCTTAACATTCATGTTCTGTTGTTTCTCAGAAGACCTTTTAGACTCTGGGTTTACTAACTCTTTTAGTTCACTATTTGGTGATGCAGTCTGTTCTAGATGAAAAGAGAATATAAATAATTAGAAACAAATAGTAAATATCCTTTTAGTTATGTTTATCCTTAAGAGTGTTTTATTATTCTTAACCCACGACCCGACTGAACCTTGACTCTTAATTTACCATCAATATTTTCCAAATGAATCAAATACGAAATAACATCTTCTTGTGATGCAATACAAATAGAAAAACTAAGTTAATGTGGTAAACAAACAAGCTGCAGAATCATAAGACAATATCTTCAGACCATTGTAAAATATTTGTTCCACTTGCTAAAACCTTTGTTAACAAAATCTTCTTAGATGTTTTTAGGCATCTCTGAAGTAGCATTTATGTTCTTGTGCAGTGGTTAAAATAACTATTGAACACTTTTTGACAAAATAAATGAAACACAAAAGCATGGAAATTAATTCTGCGTTTTATTTGATTACTCATCATAAATCCTCTAAAGAAAGGTTAGCTCATAATCTGGATGGATATTTCAAAATGGCAGTAAAGATGTCTTGGTCCAGGGGAAGATAGGAGGAGGCATATGAAAGCTGGGGCTCAGCCTCTGCAATGTAGAGGTCAGTACGCCTGATGACAACAGCACCACCCTTATTGGCAGGCTTAATAATAAAGTCAGGGTTAGATCTAAGTGTATGGAGTGCAGTCAGTTGGAGAGAAATAGGTTGGATTTGGTGAAGGAGCAGAGAAATTGAGGTGACTAATATCATGTCAACAATTCTCAATGAACAGATAGAGTGCAGGTAGAAGGCCAGAGGGAGGGGTCCAGGTGATGGGAGAACATTGGAACTGGGCAAAAAGGTCTGTAGGATGGGGTGAGGACTCTTGACCAAAGAAATGGGCAGAGAGGTGAAGAGGAGTCCGGCGTCATGTCGTGCCCGAGATTTGTTATGGTGGGGGTGCAGAGCATTAAAGCCGAGGCCTTTGCTGAGTACAGGACATTCAGCATCGGAGAGCAGAAGGTTAGGAGGGATGGTGAATACCTGACAGGAGATGGGGTTGGGAGATGGGATGGAGTCAGAGGGAAAGGGAGGAGAGGAAGGTTCCAGAGGGCCATAGGTATCTTTGAGTTGTTGCATCTTGTGGGCCTTAATGCCTGAAAGGAAAAGAAAAAGTTTCCAGTTAGCACGACGAATGAGCTGGAGGATGAAGTGGAACTGTGGAGTGGTGCAACCCTGAGACAGTGTGTTGCGATGCAGTTGGAGAAAAAGGTCGAGTGTGCATGTGATGCCGCACGGCAGTGAGCGTGAATCTCAGAATGTGGTGAGAGTAGCTGTCTGTGGAACAATGAACATCACAGAGATATCTGTGACCGTGGGTGGATTCAAAATATGAGTGATGAAACTTCAGTTGGAATCCACGTGGGGTGAGTCTGAGCCGGAGGTGGTGGTGGGTGGGGACGGTTCAGGTCTTTGCTCCAGGAAGAAGCGGAGAGCCCTAAGACCCTCCTGGTGGGGAATGGACATGTAAAGGGATTGCACATCCACGGCAAAAATAAAGTGTCTGATTCTATATAATGCTGTGAATTTCTTTATTTCAAGGAATTTTCTTATCTTTAAATCTTGGACAAATCTTTCAGTTTTTTTGTTGTCAAAAAGGACCAGAGTGCATCTTGTAAACTATCAACAATCTTTCAATGAGCCCAAATGTTAACAGGAAGGAACTCTGATCAGGTGGCAACACAAGTGGATAAGGTGGTCAAGAAGGCATATGGCATGCTTGCCTTCATCAGTCAGGGCATAGAGTACAAAAAAATGGCAAATCATGTTGCAGCTGTAGAGAATTTTAGTTAGGCCACTTTTAAAATATTGCATACAGTTCTGGTCATCACACTGCCAGAGGATGTGGAGGCTTTGGAGAGGGGACAAAAATGTTTACCAGGATGTTGCCTGGTTTGGAGGGTATTAGTTATGAGCAGAGACTGGACAAACTTGGTTAGTTTTCACTTCAACATGAGGGACAACCTGACAGAAATTTACAAAATTATGAGAAGCATGGATAGAATCGATAGTTGGAGTCTTTTTCCCAGGGTGGAAATATCAATTACTAGAGGATTTAGGTTTAAGGTAAAAGGGAAAAAGTTTAAGGGAGATGTGAGATGCAAGTTTATTTATAGAAGGCAGTAAATGCCTGGAAATGCACTGCCAGAGGAGGTGGTCGAAGCAGATACAATAGTAATTAAGAGGCATCTTGACAGATATATGAATAGACAGGGAATATAGGAATACAGACCACATAGAAGCAAGAGGTTTTTAAATTTAGAAAGGCATCACATTTCAGCACTGGCTTGGTGGGCCGAAGGGTATGTTCCTGTCCTGTATTGTTCATTGTTCTTTGTTCAAGTGAGGAACACCATCTGGAAAAATTAGCTTTCTAGGCTTACTGAGCTGACACCCATGATACATACTTAAAAAAAAAGCTGGCAAACACAAGAAAACAGAAAGAACTGAATGAGAGAATATATTAGTACATTTTAAAAAGTGTTTGGAATGTTTTTAAAAAATTAGCTTTATAAATTAGTTTATTGTACATGCGTATGTGCAGAGTGAGAAAAATTAGAGATGAGCATGCATAGCCAGTAATTATCAATGAATTGCTGGTGTCAGCAAATATTTTGAACTGTGTAATCACTTGTACCAATACGCTGAAAACCATTTAAAGCTGGAACAGTTGGCTCACAAACTTAGATGTCCAAACCCTAATTGTTTCATAACTTGCTGCTGAGATGAAAATCATATAGAAGTTTCAATCTTCAAATTACAGTCTGAAGGCTTAAAAGCAAACAGAAGTTCAAGGAGATCTATACTGAAATTACAACTGGCTATGAATCATAGCAGAACTATTTTGGGGAAATAAAAACAAATTGTGAATCAAATTTTGGAGAAGTTGGTTCAGTGAAACAGTAAAATAGACAACAAAATATGGGGTAGATGTCCACAACACAAAACCAAATGTTAATTAGAAATATATTACATTTAAAATCCTATTAGGGAATGTGTTACACATCCATATTCTAGAAGATTAAAAACATACATCATAATAAATGTCGAAATTACAACCTAGACTTTTCCAGGAAAATTGGTAAACTGAGAAAATGGCTATTAAAATTGGTATTATTAGGTGACTTGCAAAAAATGAAAAAGTACATTCTGAGGATTAGGAGAAAAAGTAGGTTATTGTTCTTCTACCTTTGGATTTAAATCAAATTCAAACATGTAATGAAACATCTCTCAATCTGTTCTCCCAAAATGTTCCAAATGAAACGGGCATTTTCAGTTTGCATTCATTCTTCAGTCATTATGAGAAAATTGTAATGGTACAGATTATTTAGTCCAAGCATGAAAACTGAATTGAGTAGTTTGACATCACTGGCATGTGGATGCTTCATTATTATTATATTTTTGAAGATTCATGTTAGATGACTGCAGACAGTGGTGCCTTCGGATACCTGACATGTCTGTTATTTCAAAAAAGGGAATACTACAAGGATATTGGAACTTTTTTAAATTAAAAAAAATCACATGGTTTGAGTTAATTGCTTGTACTTAATTACTCGAAGTCAGCTGCCTGGGGTTTATGGCTTTACTTTGGATATTGTTTGGTGTTTAATCTGCTGAAAGTGAGAAACTACCCAGGTTGTCATTTATCTGTCTGAGAAAACTTTTTTTCAGCATTCTCTCTGGTAACTGAAACACTGATCCAGTTGCACTCCTGAAAACTCACTCAAGGAGTTATCCTCAATTCCTCATGACTTCTCATGGACAACGTGAATTTGGAGATCCCAATGACAACTATCCATGTTTAGTAACATCAATCAATGTATGCCAAATTGTCAATTGAAATCCATCTTAAACATTTCATACCTGTTCTTTTCTTCCCTTCAACAGCTAACAATTATTGATCAAAGTAATTTTCCCCAAAGGTTAATCTCTGCAGAGCAATTTTTATTTGTTACTTGGTATGTGTCTTAGTGCATTTGCATGTGCATGTCTTTGCATGCATGTGGGGTTGTTAGAAGGGTAAATATCGATAATTTAATATTTTTAACCATGTGTCAGTTTTACACATTTACTAAGTAACTAAATCATTAATTTTGTTCTAGTTCCTAATAGCCCCTGTGCTCATTTGGCTATAAATGTTCATAGCCTGGTAACTCCACCATTCCAATCTCGTAGTGTTGTTTCTCCAACCTTTACAAGCCTCCCCAAGATTCCTGCACTCTTCCAATAACATCCTCTTGCAAATTCCCAACTGTAATAATTCCTCCAATAGTAGCTGTGTCTTCACCTCCCCATTCCTTAAGCTCTGAAATTATCTTACTGATTCTATTTACTTATAGCTACTTACCTCCTTTATGGAGGGCCCTTAAAACTTGCATGTTTGATCAGATTTTCAGTCACTATCCTAATGCTTCCATACATAACTCAGTGTCTGATAATACTTCATAAAGGATAATTTACCATTTTAAAAGTGCTACATTAACATAACTCTTGTTTTACATCTACAGAACATTGCTAATCATTTTGTGTAATAATGAGATGGTTAAAATAAGCATAAGCAAATGACAAAAAGAACAATGTCAAGTAATCCACTACTAATATGTAATTACCCCTCATCTTGGATGTAACATGTTGTTTCTTAACATCCATGTTCTGTTGTTTTTCAGAAGACCTTTTTGATTCTGATTTGATTAACCTCTTCTGTTCATTATTTGATGAAGTAGGCTGTTCTAAAAGCAAAAAAAATGTATGTGTGAATTTTTTTTTGAAATGGAAAATATCCTTTTGCTGTGTTTATTCTCATGCATGTGTTTTAGTTTTCTTCACTCACCACGCCTTTAAATCTACATTTTTAATTTGCCCGTCTCTTATCCAAACTAGGTGCATATGAAGCAAAATATTCTTATGTACAGTTAATGTAGTAAACAAGATGCAACTGGAGAATTGGTGACAACAAAGTGCAGAGCTGGATGAACACAGCAGGCCAAGCAGCATCATAGGAGCAGAAAGGCTGACGTTTCAGGCCTAGACCCTTCATCCTACTATCTCTGCAACTGGAGAATTGTATGTTTTATTAAAATATTAAATGCACATTTATCTAACAAAGAATTTTGTTTCAGACTAGTGCAAAAACATTGGTTTCACTAGTTTAAAAAATTGTTTATAGGTGTGTTGGAATTATTATTACTGCTCTTGAACTGTGGTTAAATAATTTTTCAACCTGCTCTCAGTTTCACTGACAGTCCCTTATTTGAGCATGACCTCTACTCAGGGTGGCAAGTTTCTGCTGTAGGTCTTCATCTGACTGAACCACCCTATTCTCAACTTGCAGGTCTTTGGAACATGGGGCAGAACGGTACAGAAAATAATGGGTTCCGAATTGTACAATTTTCTCCCATTTCCCTCCTTTTCAGGCTCAGCACTCAGACTTTTGGATTCAAAACATGACTCAGCTTAACGGCCATGAGTCTCCATTTTGAACACTCAGTAATAAACTCCATACAGTGATAGTCTTGACTTTATAATTCTTGACATTGCTGGGAAAAGAACAAACAGCAGCTGAACATTGAGACAACAAGGTGCAGAGCTGGATGAACACAGCAGGCCAAGCAGCATCATAGGAGCAGAGAGGCTGACGTTTTGGGCCTAGACAGGTATAATAGAGCACACTGCATTTCTGATGTCCATGAATGTGGCCCTTGAAACTGCCAAGGTGGCAGCTCAGCAGGAAGTTTGTCAGGTCAAGCTGGTATTCATCCAAGAAAAGGTACATGCATATTACCTTGACCATGAAGGAGATGGAGCACAGTCCTTGTTTGTGCAGTCCATGCCAATGTATTAGCCAGAATGGGCTACTGCATCTTAAGCAGCTGTTGATGGAGTTGAGTTTTGCTCACCAATATCTTTTATCTTCCACAGGGCCATTTGTAGAATAGCAGCCTCGGGATACAACTACGCTCTGGTGGAAACTTCGGAAAAGATGCATCTGAAGTGCCACAGTCAAATACATGCTCCACCAGTGCAGATGTACTCTTCTCAGTAGGGCTTCAGAATAGTTTATGATGTATGGCACAGGTGATTGGGCCTTAATTTGTTGAGCAGAAAGAAGTGACAGTATATTTAGCCTCCCTTGGAGAATGGAGGACATCTCCAGTCATGATCAGCCGGACAGTGATGTAGATCCTTGGGGGACAATTGCAGATGCGGCAGCAGTGGAAATGTGTCCAAATGTCAGAAAGTTAATAACAGAGGGTCAGGTGGTCTTGGTTTTAGACTGGGGGCAACACAGGTTCAACAGTTCCAACCCAATCTGAAGAGAAGCTCCACTCCAGTGGAAAACCATATGGATATGAGGTGGGAGTGTTGCAGTGAGAGGTTGGAGAACAGCCTTGCTTGACTCCAGTTTGCACACGTATTGGGTCTACGGTGAATCCGCTCATTAGGATTATGGCTGGCATCTTGCTGTGCAGTAGAGTGGTCATTCAAATTTGAGGAGAACATTCCATAATCCTTCCAATCTGACAGAGTTAAAAGCCTTTGAGGTTGAAAAAGCTGTGTAGAATGGTTGTTTCAACTCCTAGTACTTTTCTTGGACTTGTCTTGTTGTGAAGATCATGCCCACTGTGTGCCTTGATGGACCGAATCCACCTTGAGACTCCATAGGAAGAAGGCAATTGAGGCCAATTTTGCAAAGCCCTTACCTGTGGCAGAAAGTAGGGAGATCTTTCTGTAATTACCACAATCGGTCTTATTTCCTTTCTTGAAGATGGTTATAATTAATCTGTCTCAGAGATCCACCGGCATTCATCTCATTGCTGTGCTGAAAACTGAGCAATATGCTGTAAATACATTCATTGCATATTAATTGCATAAGTGCATTTGTAAGTAATTGTAAAGCACCTTTATAAATTTCGTGTACAAAAAACCTTTAGATATGAAAACGGTTCCAAAGCTCTTCATGGGAGAGTTATTAGACACTGAACCATATAAAGAGATATCTGGATAGAAACCATTACCTTTCTCAAAAAGAGAGGCTTTCAGCAGCAATTTAAAAGGATGAAGAAGTAGACAAGAGTTATGAAGAAAAGTTTAGAGCTTAGGGCTCAGGCACATGAGGTTGAGTAATGACCTAGTGGTACTATCACTATAATCCAGAGACCAAGGTAACTTTCTGGGGACTTGGATTCGAATCCCGGCATGACAGATGGCGGAATTTGAATTCAATAAAAATCTGGAATTAAGAGTCTAATGATGACCATGACCACTGATGATGGTCAGAAAAAAAAATCTGGTTACTAATGTCCTTAGAAAATCTGCTGTCCCTACCTGCATAGCCAATTGTCGGGCAAAACTCATCTGGTTCATTAACGCCCTTTAAGGAAGGAAACAGCCATCCTTACTAGTCCAGCCTACCCCACAGCAATGTGGTGAACTCTTAACTACCCTCTGGGCAATAAATGCTGGCCTGGCCAGTGATACTGTCATCCCATGAATGAATACAAAAACATCAAGCTGCAGTAACATATATGGTTGCTTGTGTGTGCTCGTGAGCTGAGAGACCGAGCTCCAAATCACCACTCTCATATTCACTGAGGCATATGAGAGAATGGGCCTCAGGCTAAATATCCGGAAGACAAAGGTTCTCTACTGGCTTGTTCCATTAACCCTGACTATTGCAACTTACAATGAGTCACCAGCAATTTGGATAAATTCTTACACCTTGGAAGCCTCCTATTAGTGAGGGCAGATATCGATGATTAAATTCAACATCACCTCCAGCGTGCCAGGGCAGCCTTTAGCCATTTGAGGAACAGAGTTTATGAAGACAATGCCCACAAACCTGGCACCAAACTCATAGTCTACATAGGAATGAAGTGTTACTTTCTCTGCATAGGGAAACATGGAGAATGTACAACTGACATATTAAATTGCTACAGAAATATCACCAGCAATGTCTCTGCAAAAATCTGTCAATCCACCAGCAGGACAGGCATTTGAATATCAATGTCCTTACTCAATCCAACATTCCCAGTGCGGAGACATTGGTTCTAATCAATCAGCTGAGTTGGGCTGTCAATATCATTTATATTAAGCACAGAAAATGCTGGAGAAATTACGGTCTAGCAGCATCTGTGGAGAGAGAAACAGAGTTAATGTTTTCAGTCCAATATGACTCTTCTTCAGAACTCTTAACAGATGCTACCAGACCTGCTGAATTTCTCCAGCATTTTCTGTGTTCATTTCAGATTTGCAGAGTCCAGCCTATTTTGCTTTTATTATTGCTTGTATGCCTGACAAGAATTCCAAAACAAGCTCTGTACTCCAAACTAAGTAGTTAGCAGGAGAACAGAGAAAAAACTTCAATGCCATTTTCCATGTCTCCCAAAAAATTACAACATCCCCACAAACACATAGGGACATTTTTCCCAAGATCACACAAAATGGAAAAGAAATGTCCATGAAGACGCTTACCATCTCATCTCTGACAGACTGAATGGAGGCTAATGAAAATAATACAGGGAACATGCAAAATCTGAGCATCCCATCCCATCCCAAGGTTCTTCAAAGACCACCTGCCCACCTGTGGTAGCATGTATGGATCCGATATTGGACTGTTTAGTCACCTTACGACCTCTAACTTTAGAGCTGAAAGAAGTCAAACTTAGTCTCAAGGGACTGCCTAAGAAAAAAGGTTTTATAAACACTGCTAAGTGTTCAATATAGCAAGGAGATGAGTGAATGAAGTATTGATCGGTAAAAAAATACTTTGAAGTAACCTGTTGCTAATAATAATTACCACTCATCTTGGATGCAATATACTGTTTTTTAACATCCATTTTCTGCTGTTTCTCAGAAGACCTTTTTGACTCTGGTTTGGTTAACCTCTTCCGTTCACTATTTGGTGATGCAATCTGTTCTGAAAGAAAAATGAAATGTACCTGTAATTTTTTTTAAAATTCAAATATTCTTTTGCTGTGTTTATTCTTTTGAGGGTTTTATACTCTAAATATACTCCTGTCTAAATATTCATTTCTAATTTGTCTTACTGTAACTCAAACAATCTGTATATAAAGAAAGATATTATTGTGATGCATTATAAACTAAAGCAATCGTGTTAACGTGGTAAATGAGATGCAACTGGAGAAGTATATAACAAAAATGTTAACATTTTTGAGATAATTGTAAAAGTATTGAATACAATTATTTTTTCAAAAATCTTTATAGATGTTTCCAAAGTTTTTTTTTAAAATCAACCTGCTCAGACACATTATGAAATGGCTGGGACAGGGAGATCTTGAACCCAGATCCTCTGGCCCAGAGGTAGGGACACTACCACTGCACCAAACAGGCAGACCAAAGTATTATTATTGCTGTTGAGAAATAATAAAGTCACTTTTTAATGCATTTTCAATTTACAATGTAAATAAAATAACATTTTGGTGTAGGTTCTTAATTTTACTTGATTACTTGTAATCAGGCCTGAAATGATATACGCACTCACAATCTGGACTGATACATTAATGTTATAATAAGGATGCATTACGCTGCTGGAAATTATTTCATTTTCATGTGGTGTTAAATCATTAAGTATCTCATGACAAAACTCAAAAAAGAACAACATTTCTTCTAATTGATCATAATTCTGGAGATGCAGAAAACCTTTTGCAGAATCTTTCAGGACAGCTGGTTGATTATCTGGTATGCACTCTGAGGAGGCGAACAAAAATGCACATGCAAGAATTGCAACCATAATTGTCTCCCTAAACAAGAACATTTAATATCCAGGGTTGATCTTGACATTAAAAAATCAGATCAATCAAAGACTATGAATCTCTTTAGAAAAATGTCTGAGACAGTGTAATGTTGGTGAACTTCTGCCTTCATAGGAATTTGCTTATCTCTTAGTGAAGAAAAAAAATCTCTAAATCTCTTGAAGTTCAAAAGTGGTTGCCGTGTTATGTCCATAAGACCATAAGATACAGGAGCAGAATAGGCCACTCAGCCCAATGAGTCTGCTCCACCATTCAATCATGGCTAATATACTTCACACGCCATTCTCCTGAATTCTCCCTGTAACCCTTGATCCCATTATTAATCAAGAACCTACTGATCTTTATCTTAAAGACACTCAATGACTTTGCCTCCACAGCTTTCTATCGCAATCATTTCCACATATTCACCACCCTCTGGCTGAAGAAATTCCTCCTCATCTCAGTTCTAAAGGGTCATACCTTCACTCTGAGGCTATGTCTGTGGGCCCTAGTTTCTCCTGCTAGTGGAAATATCATCTCCACTTTCACTCTATCCAGGCCTCACAGTTTTCAGTAAGATGCCCCCTCATCCTTCTAAACTCCATCAAGTGCAGACCCAGAGAGCTCAGCCGCTCCTCATATGACAAGCTTTTCATTCCCGGGATCATCCTCGTGAACCTCCATTGAACCCAATCCAAGGCCAGCACATCCTTCCTCAGGTACAGGGTCCAAGACTGCTCACAATATTCCAAATGCGGTCTGACCAGAGCCTTTATAAAGCTCAGCACTACATCTCTGCTCTTGTACTGTAGCCCTCTCAAAATGAATGCTAAAATTGCATTTGCCTTCTGAAATGCCAAATGAGCCTGCATGTTAACTTTAAAAGAATTTTGAAATTGGACTCTCAAGTCTCTTTGTGCTTCAGATTTCTGATTCACCTGTTTACAAAATAGTCTACATCTGTATTAGAGTCATAGAGTTGTACAGCACAGAAACAGACCCTTCGGTCCAACTTGTCCATGCCAACCAGATATCTTAAATTAATCTAGTTCCATTTGCCAGCATTTAGCCATATCCCTCTAAACCCTTCCTATTCATGTACCCATCCCGATGGGCTCTACCACAAGCTGCTCCAAAAATCATTTTGTAGACATTCCACGAATTCCTTTTTGTAGATCTGCAACCAACCTGATTTTTCCAGTCCACTTACACATTGAAGTCCTCCATGATAACTGCAATGGTGCCTTACTTACATTCCTTTTCTATCGCCTAATTTATTTTCCGCTCCACATCCTTATTGCTGCTAGAAGGCTTGTACACAATTCCTATCACTGTATTTTCTCCTTTGCACTTTCTCAACTCAACCCACACAGATTCTATGCTGACTGACCCTATAACTGCTTCTTGCTTTCAATTTCATTTCATTTCTTACTGACAAGGAAACCCTGCTCCTTCTGCCCATCTGCCTATCCTTTTCACAGGATGGATATCCTGGGATACTTTGTTCCCAGCCCCGAACCCCTTGCAGCCATGTCACTGATGAATCTGACTTTAAGTGCTAACCTCTTTGCTTTGGCAACAAGGCCAGAAATCACATGACACCAGGTTATAGTCCAACAGGTTTATTTGACAACACAAGCTTTCAGAGCCTCTGTTAACAACTGAAGAAGGACTGAGGCTCTGAAAGCTTGTGTTGTCAAATAAACCTGTTGGACTATAATCTAGTCTTGTGTGACTTCTGACCTTGTCCACCCCAGTCCCACACCGGCACTTCGGCAACAAGGAATTCAAGCAAAGACATCAACAGAATATCACAGAGACGTATTGTGACGTTCTTCCTAATAGTTTCCTTTTCCTTATCTGTACTTATGATAATCTTGATATTTGTAATTGTTTGTTATCAATTTTGTCTATTTATCTCTAAAGGAAAGAACCTTCAGTAATCAGAAATAAAAACAGAAATTGCTGAAGAAACTCAGCAGGCAGCATCTGTGGAGAGAAAGCAGAGTTAACATTTCACGTTCAGTGACCCTTCTTCAGTAACCAGATGTCAGATCAAACATTGCCAAGGAGTATCTGGACATTTTTTTTTTACTGGCCCACCACCAAATCCCCAGTTTCACCAATTATACAAGTACTTGCCCACCTGGGGCAGAATATCTAGTGTATTTCTTTAAATTAAATAACCACCAAATCATCTGCATGACTAATTAAACTATTGGTATTTTTGGTATTTTTAATCAACCCTGTTTAAACACACCATTGGAGCAGGTGGGACTTTAACCCAGGCCTATTGGTCCATTAGTAGGAACACCACTACTGCACTAAAAAGACACCTTCCCATGATTTAACAGTCATCACCATTTTCTTTCCTAACCTTGATTACTCGCTGTATCTTTTCTAAACACATTTTTAAATATAGAAACAATCCTTAAACAAAACCAATGAAAATAATTTTTTTCATGTTTTATATGTTGCATTGCTATATAATTAAACTTTCATTTTACCCTTTCTTTCTTTAAAGAAAAAAATATGTTCAATAATAAATTAATTTTTTATATTCTTATAAAATGTCACTACTTGTGAACATTTATTAATTTCTTGGGGGAGGTATTTCTCTTCATAGACTATCTGACAATTTACAACATGTGTCAACTGGTTTTATTTTCTTTCCAACATTTCTTTCATAATAGCAAGGCCAATTCCTTTTCTTTGCAACATCCTGTGTTAGATAAAGTGTCCCAAAGGGAATGATTATCCAAATGTTAGTCTGCAGGCATATTTTTCCTCAGATTTCCTCTTGTACAGCATTTCCTTTCAAACATTAGACAAGTACAATCCTATATCTATTCCTACATTAGTGCCAATGTTTCAAATGCTAAATTGCATTCAACAATTGTTTCTAATTTCTTAGTTTCCCAGGTCAATAGACAGCAGTTATTATTCTTACTCACTCTGAATACAGTAAACCCTGCCATATCAGAATATCCACCTGAAAAGTGGAATGTGAAGCATCACTAAAGCTTACTAACTTCATATCTTCTGGATCACCCAAGGCTGGAAACTTGAGTGTGCATTTCTCTGAATTCAACTTCTTTTATATTTTACTCATTCTCAAAGTCTCCTCAATGGGAGCATGTTTTAACATGGTACTCAGTTCTAATACATCATAACTAGCATCGGCTCTAGTCTGAATACACAAATCAGTTCAACTGACCAAAGGTCTTAATTTGTCTATTTTGATCTTGGATGCAGGATCCAATTCTTGGGAAGATCTGATTCTATTTATTGGGATGCAGCTGACAGGTAAGATTGTTAATCCAAGGTCAAAGCACCTCACTATCTCTGTACCCTCCTACCGTCCATACAGACCGCCCTTTCTGTTTCAAGTCCTCCAGTTCCTACAGCTTCCTCTGCCTGCAAACCACCTATTTGTGTGACCTTCTGAAGCTACTCTAACCTTCCCTCTGTCTGTAACCTCGGCTAGTCTCAATAATCTTCTCTGTCTGTGACCTTCTCTCATTCTCCAGCTCTCACTATCTCGAACTTCCTCGAGTCACTACCATCCTTCCTGTAAGTGTACCCCCTTTCATTCAGTGCTAACCTTCCTATCTCTATAATCTCATCTAACCACTAGAACCATTCCTATCTCTGCAATTACCTGCAACGTCCACAGGCCTCCCTACTGCTGTAACCTCCTCCTGTCCCTCTAATAGACATTTTTAATTTAACCTTCTCCCATCCCTACACCACACCTTATGGCTGCATCCTCGTCCTGTTCCTACAACCCTCGTGCACTTTGTGACCTCGTCAAATCTTGACAATGCTCTGCATCATTGTATCTTCCTATCGTCCCCCTGCTTTCAACTTTGATTTGTCCCTACTGCCCTCCCTGACTCTGTAAAATTGTACAGTCCCTAAAACACTTCTTCTCCACGTAACCTTCTCTAGTCTTTGCAAAGCTCATATGACTATAACATTTTTCTGTCCATGGAGTCCTCCCCATGAGTATAACTTTCACTATCACTGTTAACACATCCAGAGCCTACACCTCATCAAGCTCGGGCAAACCTCCCTTTGACTGTAACCTCTTCAGTCTCTAACAAATTCTCTATCTCAATAACATCATCAAGTCTCTACAACCTTCATGATTGGTGTGACCTCT